CTTTTTCTTTTCTTTTTTTTTTTTTTTGGAGACACCATCTCGCTCTGTCACCCAGGCTGGAGTGGCATGAACACGATCTCCACTCACTGCAACCTCGGCCTCCCGGGTTCAAGCCATTCTCCTCTCAACCTCCGGAGTAGTGGGACTACAGGCGGCACACCACCACCACCTGGCTAATTTTTGATTTTTAGTAGAGACAGAGTTTCACCATGTTGACCAGACTGGTCTTGAACTCCTGACTCTGTGATCCCCCACTCAGCCTCCCAAAGTGCTGGGATTACAGGTGTGAGCCACTGCGCCGGCCAGGAGTTTATTTTCTAATACACTTCCGGAAGCTGGAAGTCCAAAATCAAGTGTTGGCAGGGTTGGTTATCGTCCTGGAAGCCTCTCGCAGACCCTAATCTCTCCTTATAAAAACCAATAAACCAAATTCCCAGCCACCTCAGGGACTCCACTTAACTTAGTCAACCTTCTTTAAGAGCCTAATGGTCTGGCGGGTGCGATGTGTCATGCCTGTAATCCGCCAGCATTTGGGAGTCTCTAGAGGACCAGAAGTTTCAAGACAGGACTAGGTGGACATCACAAGACCTAGGATCTCTTACAAAAACATGCAAAAATTTAGCTGGAGATGGTAGCATGTACACTTGCACTTCCAGCTACTCGGAGGCTGAGGTGAGAGACTCAATTGAGCCAGGGAGGCCGAGGCTGCAGTGAGCCACAAATCGCATCACTGCCTCCAGCCTGGGTGACCAAGCAAGACCCTGTCTCAAAAAGAAGCAACGAAAAGAATCTTTATGGTCAAATACAGTCACATTCTGAGGGTTCTGGAGGTTACAAGTCCAACACATGAATTTGGAGGTGGTGGGGGAAGCCGATTTAATTTCATAACAGGGATCTTGAAATTTGCCTTGCAGAAATGAAAGTAATGAGGAGAAAGCTAACATGACTGACCATCTTGTATTCTAACCTCCACAGGGCTAGATTTTTCTTTTCTTCTTCTTCTAGTGCAGAGGCCAAAATTACCATGAGAGGAATTTAATTCATAGTTAAACTTTGAGACGAGGAATAACGTCTTTCTCGAAGCCTCCAGTCTTAGGTCCTGAGGAGATTGAAGATGAACCTCACAACCATTTCATATCATTACGTTCGTATCCTGGTGGGGTTATTCTACCATTTTTTGAGACAGGGAGTTTTACCTCTTGTTGCCCAGGGACTGAGTTGCTAATGTGTCAGTAGTGTTTGTGTCTGTCTTCTGCAACCTCCACTCCTGTGGTTCCATCTAGCTTGATTCTTGTTGTGTGAAGTAAACCCCTATATCAGAGGTTGGATCCCCTAAGTTGGCCTTACCCATAACATTCTGCTTTAGATTACCATCTCTGGCTATGCTTTTTTCTGTTGTTATTTTCTTCTCTTTTTAAAATTACGTGAAGGAATGTATGCTCCATAAAAATTTAAATAACATAGAAGGTCGAATCATGTAGCACGCCCATTGTAACCCCGTGCTTCCCAAGCCCCTTTCTAGAAGACATTGCAGCAGTCTGATAGCGTCGCGACGCTGTTCAGATTTGTTGTTCTTTTGTGTCTAAGTGAGCAGTACATGTATTGGTGTTGTGCATCAGACCTTTGTGTGTGTTGTCTGGTACATAACAACTAACTCATAGAAATCTCAATGGGGTAGAATACACTGATGCTGCTTGCTCGGTCTCTCGAGCGGGATTACAGGCATGGACCACCTGTGGCCTGACTGTGTTAGTGCACATCTCCACTTTCGTTACCAGACCCATATGGTATAGAAATCGATATCCGGATAGAAGGTGTGTTGTAGTACCTTTGTAACAACAGAGAGAGAGAGAGAGAGAGAAAGGAGGGAGGGAGGGAGGGAGGAAGGAAGGAAGGGAGGGAGGGAGGGAGGAAGGGAGGGAGGGAGGTCACCATGTTGGCCAGGCTGGTCTTGAGCTCCTGGGCTCAAGTGATCCACCCACCTCGGCCTCCCAAAGTGCTGGGATTACAGGTGTGAGCCACTGCATCTGGCCCCAAAATTAACCATTTTGAAAAGTGAATAATTGACTGGCATTCAATGCATTCACAGTATTGTACAACCATCACCTCTATCTAGTTTCAGAATATTTTCCTCACCCCAAAAGGAAACCATGTACCCATGGGCTGGTGGCTACCTGCTCGGACAGCCCGGTTCTAGGTCAAATTCTGTGTTTTATCCCTTTTCCCTGTGAATTTTCTGGACTTCTTTGTGTTTTCTCCTGGGAAGTTCTGAGGTTTCCATAATTCCTGGGCTCCAGAAAGAGGAAAAGGCGGCTGTGGAGAGACGAAGACTTCATGTGCTGAAAGCTCTGAAGAAGCTACATATTGAGGCCGATGAGGTAAGTGAGGGGAGGAGGGTGGCCCCAGAGATCCCAGGATCGCCCCCTCTGTGCCCAGTGTCCAGGGCCCATCTCAGCCAGGGAGAGCTGGACCAAAGGGAGGAAATAGAAGGATACGACCTTCTATGGGACAGAAATAGAAGGATATGAACTTCTATGGGACAGACATTGCCCCTGCCTAAGGGAGATCCTAGGTCGTCTTCTTATCCTTCTCCTTCTCCTCCTCCTCCTCCTTTCTTTTTCTTTTTCTTTTCTTTTTTTTTTTTTTTTTTGAGACAAGGTCTCGCTCTGTCTCCCAGGCTGGAGTGCAGTGGCATGATCTTGGCTCACTGCAACATCGGCCTCCCGGGTTCAAGCCATTCTCCTGCCTCAGCCTCCGGAGTAGCTGGGACTACAGGCGCACACCACCACACCTGGCTAATTTTTGTATTTTTAGTAGAGACAGAGTTTCACCATGTTGACCAGACTGGTCTTGAACTCCTGACCTCGTGATCCGCCCCACTCAGCCTCCCAAAGTGCTGGGATTACAGGTGTGAGCCACTGCGCCCGGCCAGGAGTTTATTTTCTAACACTTCCGGAAGCTGGAAGTCCAAAATCAAGGTGTTGGCAGGGTTGGTTTCTCCTGAAGCCTCTCGCAGAGGCCCTAATCTCTCCTTATAAAACCAATAAAACCAAATTCCAGGCCACCCTCAGGACTCCACTTTAACTTAGTCACCTCTTTAAGAGCCTATGTCTGGCCGGGTGCGATGTGTCATGCCTGTAATCCCAGCATTTTGGGAAGCTCTCTAGAGCCCAGAAGTTCAAGACCAGACTGGGTGACATAACAAGACCTGATCTCTACAAAACATCAAAAATTTAGCTGGAGATGGTAGCATGTACCTGCACTTCCAGCTACTCGGGAGGCTGAGGTGAGAGACTCAACTTGAGCCAGGGAGGCCGAGGCTGCAGTGAGCCACAATCGCATCACTGCACTCCAGCCTGGGTGACCAAGCAAGACCCTGTCTCAAAAAGCAAGCAACGAAAAAGAATCTTATGTCCAAATACAGTCACATTCTGAGGTTCTGGAGGTTACAAGTCCAACACATGAATTTGGAGGTGGTGGGGGGAAGCCGATTAATTTCATAACAGGGATCTTGAAATTGCCTTTGCAGAAATGAAAGTAATGAGAGAAAGCTAACATGACTGACCATCTTGTTTCTAACCTCACAGGCTAGATTTTTCTTCTTCTTCTTCTTCTAGTGCAGAGGCCAAAATTACCATGAGAGGAATTTAATTCATAGTTAAACTTTGAGACGAAGAAAACTGACCCCCAGTCCTTGTTGAGAGATTGAAGTCACATTCATTTACTTTTTATTTATTTATTTTTGAGACAGAGTTTCACCCTTGTTGCCCAGACTGGAGTGCAATGGCGTGATCTCTGCTCCCTGCAACCTCCACCTCCTGAGTTCAAGTGATTCTCCTCCCTCAGCCTCCTGAGTAGCTGGGATTACAGCCGCCCACCACCATGCTCAGGTGACTTTTGTACTTTTAGTAGAGACAGGGTTTCACCATGTTGGTCAGGCTGGTCTCCAACTCCTGATCTCAAGTGATCCACCCACCTCGGTCTCTCGAGGTGCTGGGATTACAGGCATGAGCCACTGTGCCTGGCCTGAAGCCACATTCATAAGACAAGGTTAGAATCATGAAGGTGCTGGAACTTTGCTAAACAACAGTTGTGGGTTAAACAATGACCTGCCATCCCTTAGCTTCCTTTTCTATATGTGCTCCAGAGTCATGTAACCAGGGGTCGCAAGATCTATAACTTCCCCAGCCACTTCTGTAAATAACATCGCTATTGTGAAACCTACAGAACTCATCTTTTTAGTGGACTGTGGTAGCTAACACCTGTAATCCCCACTTCTTGGGAGGCTAAGGCAGGAGGATTGCTTGAGCCCAGGAGAACAAGACCAGCCTGGGCAACATAGTGAGACCTCAATCTCTACAAAAAAATTAAAACTTTGCCACGGGCAAAGTTTTAGAGGCATGGTGGTGCATGCCTCTAGCCCCAGCTACTCAGGAGGCCAAGGCAGGAGGATTGCTTGAGCCCAAGAGTTGGAGGCTGCAGTGAGCTATGATTGCGCCACTGTAAGGACCAGCCCTACAGGGTCTGTGGATCTTTCTCCCCGTGTGCGGAAATGAGAGATCGTAGAAATAAAGACACAAGACAGAGAAGAAAAGACAGCTGGTCTGGGGGACCACTACCACCAAGACGAGGAGACCGATAGTGGCCCTGAATGCCTGGCTGCGCTGATATTTATTAGATAATAAGGGGCAGGGTAAAGAGTGTGAGTCATCTCCAGTGATTGATAAGGTCACGTGAGTCACGTGTCCACCAGACAGGGGGCCCTTCCCTGTTAGGTAGCCGAGGCAGAGAGAGAGAAGACAGCTTATGTCATTATTTCTTCTATGCTCTTTTCAGAAAGATCAAAGACTTTAATACTTTCACTAATTTTGCTGCTGCTCTGTAGAGGGCGGAGCCAGGTGTACAGAGTGGAACATGAAAGTGAAACAGGAGCGTGACCGCTGAAGCACAGCATCACAGGGAGATGGTTAGGCCTCTGGATGGCTGTGGGCGGCTGACACCAGTCAGGCCCTCCACAAGAGGCGGTGGAGCAGTCTTCTCTAACTCCCCCGGTCTGCTAAGTAATGGGTGCTTTTTCTAGGCACTGACATGACCGCTAGACCAAGGTCCGCTAGGCCACGGGCGTCTTCACAGACGCTGGCGTTACCGCTAGACCAGGGAGCCCTCTAGTGGCCCTGTCTGGGCGTGACAGAGGGTCACACTCCTGTCTTCTGGTCACTCCTGACCTCAAGTGGTCTGCCTGCCTCGGCCTCCCAAAGTGCTGGGATTACAGGCATGAGCCACTGCTCCTGGCAATAATGTTTTGTTTTGTTTTTGTTTTTGTTTTTTTAAGGAAAGAAAAAAAAAGAACTTGTCTTTGAGATAGTTTTCAGAGTGAGCATTTTGGCAGACCAAGAGCTACCACCTGGTCCTGAGACCCACTACCAGGAACTGACTCAGCCATACAAAGACAGTTTTGGTCTGTGATTTCATCCATACCCGATCAATTGTTTCAGTTCCCCCAGCTCCTTGCCCACCAAAGTTTCCTTAAAAAGCCCTAGCCTCGGCCGGGCGCGGTGGCTCAAGCCTGTAATCCCAGCACTTTGGTGAGGCCGAGGCAGGCGGATCACCTGAGGTCAGGAGTTCGAGACCAGCCTGGCCAATATGGAGAACCCCATCTCTACTAAATACAAAAATTAGCTTGGGCATGGTGGTACATCTCTGTAATCCAGCTACTCGGGAGGCTGAGGCAGGGTGAATTGCTTGAACCCAGGAGGTGGAGGGTGCAGTGAGCCAAGATCATGCCAATGCATTCCAGCCTGGGCAAGAAGAGGGAAACTTCATCTATAGAGAGAGAGAGAGAGGAGAAAGAGAAAGACAGAGAGGAAAAACCCTTAGCCTCCAAATTTTCAGAGAGATGGCGCTTGAAACATTTCTCCCATTTCTCCATTCTCCTCTCTTGGCTGCCCCTGGATTATTAAACTCTCACTCTTTGCTGCAACACCTGCTGTTCACATTGGTTTTGTCTGGGCAGTGGACAAGAAGAACCATGAGCCCGTGACAGTCCCGGCCCTCCCCCACTGTCTTTGCTAAGCCAACAGTGGACACAGGTCTAAGAAGAGCATTTGTTTGCAGGAGTGACTGAGAATTTTCTGACCGCAGTGCACCATGGGAAGGTAAGTCGTCTCAGAGCTGACCACTGCGGGGAAGGCAGAGCATTTGTGTAATGGAATGCACAGTGAGTGTCAAGAGGTGAGGGCTGTGACCGTTCCTCTCGCTTGGTCGGAGATAGATGGAAAGAGGCTGAAGGTTGGGCGTGGTGGCCCATGCCTGTAATCCCAACACTTTGTGTTGGCTGAGGCGAGGCGGTGTCTTTGAGCCCCAGAGTTCGCAAGACTAGCTGGCCCATGGTGAAACCCGCTATCTCTCACAAATTAAAAAGAAAAATATTTTTTTAGAAATTAGGCCAAGCATTAGTTGGTACACACCGTGTAGTGCCACGGCTACGTTTGGGAGGGCTAGGACATGAGGATCACTTGGTCCCGGGTTGCTCAAAGGGCTGCAGGAAGCCTATGATTGCACCCACCGCACTGGTGATGACGAGCAAGGACCATGTCTGTATCGTTGAAACCGGAGTGGAAGGGTTCGCAGTGAACGAAGATTGCGCCACTGCATTCCAGGCCTGCGGCAACAGGCAAGATTCTTTGTCTCAAAAGAAGAGAGGAAGAGAGAGAAAGGAGGGAGGTGAGGGACGGAGATAGAAGAAGGAAGGAGAGGAAGCGAGGAGGGATTGGTCACCATGTTGGCTCCCAGGCTGGTCTTGAGCTCCCTGGGCTCAAAGTGATCCACCGCACCCTCGGGTGGCCCAAAGTGCGTGGGATTACAGGGTGGTGTGGGACTGCATCTGGCACCGCGGCAAAATTAAGCCTTTTGAAAAGGTGGAATAATTGACTGGCATTCAATGCATTCACAGTATTGTACACCATCACCTCTACTCTAGTTTCAGGAATATTTTCCCTCACCCCAAAAGGAAACCCATGTACCATGGGGCTGGTGGCTGACCTGCTCGGACAGCCCGGTTCTAGTGTCAAATTCTGGTGTTTTTTATCCCTTTTCCTGTATTTCTGGACTTCTTTGTGTTTTTCTGGGAAGGTCTGGTTTTGCATAATTTCCTGGGCTCCAGAGAAGAGGAAAAAGGGCGCTGTGGCAGAGACGAAGGACTTCATGTGCTGAAAAGACCTGAAGAAGCTACATCATTGAGGCCGATGAGGTAAGTGAGGGGAGGAGGGGCCCCAGAGATCCCAGACGGCCCTCTGTGGCCCAGGTTGTCCAGGGCCCATCTCAGCCAGGGAGAGGCTGGACCAAAGGGAGGAAATTAGAAGGATACGACCTTCTATGGGACAGAAATAGAAGGATATGAACTTCTATGGGACAGACATTGCCCTGCCTAAGGGAGATCCTAGGTCGTCTTCTTATCCTTCTTCCTTCTCCTCCTCCTCCTCCTTTCTTTTTCTTTTTTCTTTTCTTTTTTTTTTTTTTGAGCAAGGTTCTCGCTCTGTCTCCCAGGCTGGAGTGGCAGTGGCATGATCTTGGCTCACTGAACATCCACCTCCCAGCTTCAAGCTATTCTTCTGCCTCAGCCCACTAAACAGCTGGGATTACAGGTGTGTGCCACCACACCCAGCTGATTTTTGTATTTTTAGTAGAGATGGGGTTTTACCATGTTGGCCAAGTTGGTCTTGAACTCCTGACCTCAAGTGATCCACCCGCCTCGGCCTCCCAATGTGCTGGGATTACAGGTGTGAGCCACGGTGCTTGGCCCCAGGTACCCTTCTTGTTCCCACCTCCATCCTCAGGCTCTGAACCTCTGATTGATTCTCTCCCCAATGCCTAGGCCCCAGTTGTTGCTGTGCTGGGCTCAGGCGGAGGACTGCGGGCTCACATTGCCTGCCTTGGGGTCCTGAGTGAGATGAAAGAACAGGGCCTGTTGGATGCTGTCACGTACCTCGCAGGGGTCTCCGGATCCACTTGGTAAGTGTCACTCGTGTTTCAGATTGCTTTCTGACACATAAATGGGATTATTGTTTTCCTCCTGACACCAAATGTGTGTGGTTTTTCCAACGCTGCTTCTTGAGCTCTCTGATACTAGCTGGGTATCCTACAATGCTGAGCAATTCTGACGCTGTCTGCCTGGAGTTCAGGTCAGATTCCAACAGGTTTTCAGTCCCTAAAAACTGCCCCACTTCAGACACGAGTTGCAATTACCTAGCCGCTGGTACTTCTGACCGACTGGCAATAGTTTGGGGTTTCCCACAGCTTCCTCCTCATGTTCAGTAATTTACCGGAATAGCTCACAGAACTCAGGAACACACTTTACTTACATTTGCTGGTGTATTACAAAGGATGGGCCAGGTGTGGTGGCTCATGCCTGTAATCCGAGCACTTTGAGAGGCTGAGGCAGGAAGATCGCTTGAGTTCAGGAGTTTGAGACCCAGGCTAGGCAACTTAGCTAGACCCCATCTCTACAAAAAGCGAAAAAATTAGCCAGGTGTGGTGGTGCATGCCTATGGTCCCAGCTGCTCAGGAAGCTGAGGCAGGAGGATTGCTTTAGCCTGGGAGGCTGAGGCTGCCTTGAGCTACAGTCACACACTGCACACCAGCCTGGGTGACAGAGAGACCCTGTCTCAAAAAAAAAACCCAAAAATTCTAAAAAAAATTCCAAGGATTTTAGGAACTCTGCACCAGGAAGCAGGGAAAAACACGAAGTATCTTTCTTTACTACACAAAACTGCTGTGGACAAAGCATAATAATACTACCTTCTGACTTTAAAGGAGGATTTACAGGTTCAGGTGCACTTTTCACACTGCAGGTGGATAGAATACAGCCCTTTTAACTTCTCAGCCTCCGTGATAAAGTATTGCATTAATTTGTGTAGGACTGTCTCATTCAGGAGGCCCCAGATGGCAGGTATGAAACACTCATGTCTGCATGTTTGTTTCCAAGCCCAGGGCAGACATGACTAATCGATCTTGGCACATTTTCCGAGCAGGAGGTAAGGCTGGGCAGAGCAGCAGAGGCTCGAGTGAGATAGGCAGGGCAGAGGCATGAATGTTGAACCTGGCTGGCATGATTTGTTTTCCTTTCTGTGCTCAAAGTTTGATCTGGAGCTGGGTTCTGAGCTGGGTGTAGAGGATGAGGTTCATGGGGACGACAACAAGAAGAGCAGAGCTGCAGAGCCTGGGAGTGGGAAAGGTACTGCAGAGTCACACCTAGGACCCCTCTATTCCTCCAAGGCTCATCTAACATGTTGAGTGACATGGCATGAGGATTTAGCCGAACTGCACATTGCAGAACTCCAGGGGGCGCTGTTGAGATAGGAACCACATGATTTCTTCTGTAATCTTTCCAAGGCTGCAGTGGTTAAGACCTGGCTGGACACAGGGACTCACACCTGTAATCCCAGTACTTTGGGAGGTCGAGGTGGGAGGATCTCTTGAGCCCAGGAGTTCAAGACTAGCTTGGACAACATAGCGAGACCCCATCTCTACAAATGACAACAACAAAAGCCTTATATTCCAACAGCTTTGGGTTAATTCCTGGAGCTGTCCTTCGTGGGCTGTTATGAGCCCAGACATACTTCTTTGTGCCTTGGTTTCCTCCACTGTTGAGGAGGATAACTTGCTGATTTCACAGGACTCTTTGAGATTTAAATGATGAAACATATGCAAAGCGTCCCAACCTGAGCTATCCAGTAGTACTGTATACCATGAGCCATATCTCATCTATTCTATCATTTTACATTTTCTTTCTTTCTTTCTTTTCTTTTCTTTTCTCCTTTTGGAGATGCAGTCTCGCTCTCGTTGCCCAGGCTGGAGTGCAGTGGCGCGATCTTGGCTCATTGCAACCTCCACCTCTTGGGTTCAAGTGATTCTCCTGCCTCAGCCTCCCAATTAGCCGGGATTACAGGCACTTGCCACCACACCCGGCTAATTTTTGTATTGTTAGTAGAGGTGGAGTTTCACCATGTTGGCCAGGCTGGTCTCAAACTCTTGATCTCAGGTGATCTGCCTGCCCTAGCCTCCCAAAGTGCTGGAATTACAGGCATAAGCCACCATGTCTGGCCCATTTTAAATTTTCTAGTAGCCTCTTCAAGAAGGTAAAAAGAAACAGTGAAATGAATGATCAATTTTCTTTAACCCAATATGTCCAAAACATTAGCGTTTTGACACATCATTAAGAAAAACATTGTTAATGAGATATTTGACATTCCTTTTGTCAGACTAAGTCTTTGAAAGCTGCTGGGCCTTTTATACTCAGCACATTCCAAGTTGGATGCAGAAGTCTCATTAGATGTTAAGGGAGGCCCAGGACAGTGGCTCACGCCTGTAGTTCCAGCACTTTGGGAAACCGAGGTGGGTGGATCACCTGAGGTCAGGAGTTTGAGACCAGCCTGGCCAACATGGTAAAACCCTGTCTCTACTAAAAATATAAAAATTAGCTGGTTATGGTAGCGGGTGCCTGTAATCCCAGCTACTTGGGAGGCTGAGGCAGGAGAATCATTTGAACCCAGGAGGCAGAGGTTGCAGTGAACCGAGATCAAATCACTGTACTCCATCCAGCCTGGGTGACAGAGCAAGACTCCGTCTCCAGAAAAAGAAAAAGATGTTAAAGGAAAGAGCTTTTCATACCCAGCTTGTTCCAAACATACTTCAGAGTTTCCCAGTAACTGAATGGAGTACCAGTGTTTACATTTAAGCTAATTAAAATGAAATAAAAATTTAAAATCACGCTAGCCACACTTCAAGGGCTCAAGAGCTACGATGTGTGTTTAATACATTGGATGGTGTGAGTGTAGATAGCACCCAATAAGCAGCATAAAGAACATCAAAAATTTTTATTGAGCCCAGGCACAGTGGCTCACACCTATAATCCCAGCATTTTGGGAAGCTGAGGTGGGAGGATTGCTCGAGGCCGCAAGCTTGAGACCAGCCTGGGCAACCACATACATGACTCATGAAAGTAACAACTTCCAAAGTTTTTTTTTAACCAAAATAAGTTAAAGAGATTCTGTCTCATTTTTATAAATACTCAAAATATTTTGTGAATATACCAAGACAATATACTTGATGAATCGTCAAGCCTGAACAAGTTTATTAATTGTAGCAAGGGACTAAACACTCTATATCCATAATTAGATCCTTTGAGCAAAGGGTCGGTACATGCGTGCGAGAGCGCCAAAAACTCGGTGAAAGAGGCTGACGTGCAGGTTGAATTGCTTGAACCCAGGAGGTGGAGGTGCAGTGAGCCAAGATCATGCCAATGCATTCCAGCCTGGGCAAG